TATATAGTTTTAAAAAAAATACATTATTTATTAATAATAAGAAAGCCAATAAAAAAATATTTATTAATTCAACATTACCAATGAATTCCAATCCAAATAATCTTGTATAACCAGCTAATCATATATAATATAACACAAAATTTTATGCGTTTATCTTTTATATAAACTTTCATCTGAAATGAACACTAAAATAGATGATTCTGATGATTCTTACTTTTTAGATTCTAATAATGAAAAAGATTTTGAATATCATGATAATGAAACAGATTTTGAATACCATGATAGTTAGGGTTCCTCAAAATCGAATTGAATCAAATATTTAATTGAATCAAATTGAATCAAATCGAATATAAAAAAATTTTTAAATTTTTACAATAATATATTAAAATAAAGTTATTATAAAGGTTGAATTAAGAAAATTATTGGTAATTGCACTAAAAATTTCAAAAAAAGCTTTTACAAAGTATGTTTAATAACAGGTGAATTTTTACTATTAACCTTAGTAAAATAACGTCTCCGAAAGCCGTGAAGGCATTTTTTACTATGTTTTTCATAGTAAAAAGGCATTTCCGAAGCTGTAAAGGCGTTTTTTACTATGTTTTTCATAGTAAAAAAGGTATTTCTGAAGCTGTGGAATCACTTTTTACTATGGTTTTCTTAATAAGAATCACTTCTGAAGCTTTGGAGATGGCTTTACTATTGATTCGAATCAAATCAAATATTTGAATACTTGATTTGAATTTGATCAAATCAAATCCAATATAAATTTAAATTTGTATTTGATTTGATTTTCAAATCAAATATTCAAATATCAAATCGAATTGCGAAACCCTACTTAATATATAATAAATTAGCTTAAAAGAAATAAGTAAAATATATAAAATATTAGAAAATTTAGCAAATACTATATTATATTATATAATGTATAAATTAAATTATTAATGAAAACTTTAAATTATATTATTGTTAAATGAGTCAGCTAACCAGTTAGTAAAACTGGTCAGTTAATTGATCAGTTAGCTAATGACTTTATTAACTATTGACTAACCATTAACCAATCATAATTGATTATTATCCTCTCTAATAAAAATGAGCTTCTATAGAAATATTCAAATTTCTTTTTATTTTTTCTTCATTAAGTTTTAATTGACTACATAAACCTCTGAAAAAAATTGCTTACTATAACTAATCTTCTATTTTCCTTCTTTATGCAATAGTATTTTATCAGCAGTTATCCAAATTTTATTTTTCCATTATTTGTATAAAAGACACACTAATTATAAATAACAAAAAATTAACATTTATTCATCTGGTCATATATTAGTGAAATTACTTCATTTCTTCTTATTTATATTTAGTTATTTGTAATTCTAATTCTTTCATTAGTTTTAAAAATCTTTTCTCTTTAGCAGTTCTAAAGCTAATTGTTTTCTGTATTTCTATATATTTAATCAAAATAAAATCCTCAATATACTACTTAAAATAAGTTACATCATTACAATTTGAATGTAATATCTTATTATTAACAAGTCAATATTATTATTTATGTTTTTCATGATATAAAACTGAAAATAATTGATTATTCAAGTAAAATTTAGTCATAGATCGAATCTATTTGGTGTATATAACTTTTAATAATATAAATTATTTGTGTTACTTTTTTATTAACTTTATTTTTTATTGCCATAATTTACCTTTTATAAAGTATTCATAAATAGTATACTATCTGTTAAATTTAAAAATTGTTAATATTTTTTTAATAAGATTATCTTAAAGTTATGCAACTTTTTTACAAAGTATTTAAGGTGATGATAAAGATAGAAAAGAAGGTACTAAAAAGAAGATAATAATAAAAAGAAAATAGTAATGATAGTTAAGGTTACTGAAGAAATAAGAGAGTTTTTTACTTACTGAAATGCTGAAACTTTAATAAAACTATATTAAAATCTTATAATTACTTATACTAAAACTATAATAAAATACTGAAATGTTAAAACTATTATAGTAAATGCTAAAACTGGAAAAACTATAATAAAATTATATTAAATACTTATTAAAATTTTATCAAAATTTTTAAGAGATTTAGATAAATATCTTAGTAATGATAATGAAGATGGAGATGAAATGAAAAAAAAATAGTAAGGATAATAGTAATAGAAATAAAAATGAAAATAGAGATAGAGATAAAACAGAACTTTAATAAATTCACTTATACTCTTATTTGAAAATAGTAAAAATTCAAATATTACAAAAGAGTTATTAGCAAAATTACTGCTATTACAAAAATTAGTATTCCTTTAAAAATATTGGCAATTATACTAGAAGTATCAAATTTATAATAATAAGTTATTTTTAGTATTTCTTTTATCTTCTTTTAATTTTTTCAATTTTATTACATATGAAAATTATTACAAATAAATATATTTTTGTCTTAATTTCTTTCTTTTTCCTTTTAATAGATTCTATATTTTTAATAGTTTCAAATTTTTTCTTTTCATTAAAGGAATATATCCTTTTATTATATTCTTAAAGTCAGATATTTTTTTATAACATTTTAAAATATTTTTAAAATCTAATAAAATATTTAACAATCATGTTTTTATTAATCAATAAAATTTCATGTTATTTTATTAGTTTTTTATTAGCTAATAATATGTGATATATTTGTTTTACTAAACATTAATCATATGAAAAGGTAACATTTTTAATTTAATATAAATTGTGAATAAATAATTATTTTTTAAAAAAAAAGTTACCAATTTGTAATAATTTAATTTAATTTTAAATAACACTTTTTTGATATTATATTTATATATTTTATAATTTTTTAAAAAATTAACAAATTTATTAATGTTTTTAAGTATCAATATTATATTAAATTCCTATTTGCCATAATAAATTGATTTTAGTGTCTTATTTATTTTATAAGAATTATGATTTTCTTTTCTAATATTACATTTGATCTTTACTTGAATCAAAAATCCAATTTCAAAAGTCTATTTTATATATCTTATTCTACTTTCAAATCAATATCATTTTCCTAATCATTTACCTTATTATTTTTCTAATCAATTTTACTAAAAATATCATTTCAAAACCTATTTCTAATTGGTTTTCTAAAATATTCTCTTTTATATCATTTTTATTTCTAAAATAAAATAAATTTATTTAAATAATTCTTATAAATAAAATGAATGATTTATAAATTCTATAAAAAAATTTCCTATTTTATAATATTCATATTACAATTTTCAATGCAGCTTTTTTTTTATTAAGTCAAGATTAAGGTTATTAGATAAAATCAAGATTTTAGACAGATGTCTAAATGTTAAAGGTAAAATTTGGTTAAATTATATTAAAACCTTATTAAAAAATCTGCAAAATACAGAAAAAGATAAAATTATATCAAAGCTTATAAAAATAGTAAAACTATATATATCTAAAATTTAGTGAAACTAAAAGTTTAAATGTTTAGCCAAATCTAAAATGAGTTTAGACATTCAATTTTAGTTAAGACTAAAGATAAATCCACAATTATTAGGTTATAACTTTTTGGATTACAATTTAAGTTACAACTAGTTGCAAAATCTTAAATATAAGAATTTATATATAAAAGTTTATTACTAGATGCAACTTTTCAGGTTGCAACCTATATTACAACCAATTGCAGAATTTTCAAATCAGTTGCAATATTATTTTAGTTAAGACATACTAAAAATATATTTTTTTTAAAAAAAAAATCCATTATTATCATATTATAAATTTCATATGATTAAATTTATTTTATTTGATAAAATCATTATCACATAATAATTGTCTGTTTGAATTTATAAGTAAATTATCAATTTTCAAATGCTTAAGACTCAAAAAATTTCTAATCAACTAAAGATTTGAAATTATAAACTTTTATTTTTATTGTTTATACTATCATTATTCAAAATTGGATGACTTTATTTCTATTTATAGATGATGCACCATATTGGATAGTTTTTTTTATCGATCGTATGCTTTTTTGATAGTCACAACTATAGAATCAATATAAAGAATTTAAAATGAAAAAATTATCATAGTTTGAATTTACCATTTCGCGCCTCTATGTAAAGACCATCGAATAATTTAATTTTCCTCTGAATTAATTTTTTTCTTTTTTTTACTATACTTTAGTCTTTTCAGGTTAGATCGCTTCGAAAGTTTCAGCATTTTAATTTCTTTTTTTATTAAAAAAAAAATTATTTCAAGCAATTTGAAGTGATCCAACCTGAAAAAGCTAAAGGGTTAGAAAGAAAAAAAACCTTTCGGACGGTCATGTCATAGTATCTTTAAAAATATAAACAAGTTTTCGAGGACTTAAGTTGTGAGTCACGTACGGAAGAAAATGAAACCGACACTCTTCTAACATATTTCCTGAGTAACATTTTCGAAATGAATGAACATCCCTATGTCATTTAATTTAACTCATTTTCATATGAATATACGTTATGATTATGCATTAAAGGACATACAGCAATTGATACATTTAAAATTAAACATTTCGGATCGATATTATTTATCGGGAATGTGGTCAATTTTGCTATGGTGGATGAACTTTACTTAACGAATCTAAATTTAATATTCAATGCGTTAAATTGTATCGTTATGAAGCTTACAAAGATATTTCATTGAGAAATCTCATTATCTCATTGATTACGTGAGAAGCAAATTCCTTATTCTACAAAGCACCCTACCTTTCAAAATAGTGATCAGAGGAAGCATAAAATCATAAAGGTGCACGCTGACGAAGAAATTAATAGTCTATTTTATGGTAAGTTTTATTATCTCTATTTTTGTTTTTTTTTTTTTTTTGATATGCAAATAAATGTTTAGATGTACAAATTAAATCTTCAAACAATCCTCTTTGCGGTGTGACGTTGGACAATTTACATGATTTATATTTTCTTTAAATCTAATTGTAGTTTAAGAAACTTACTTATTATGAATGTATAAAACCTCTAAATCCATAACTATAATTTTGCTTGTACATTATTGTTTCTCTTTGCTTTTATTTCATTCAAGAAATCTCTTGCACAAGTTCCATCAGAAAACTCAAATGGGAATATTTGTTCAACAAGTTTCAACCTAATTTGTCTTTTATTCTCCCTCTCTTCTTTTTCCTCTATGCTCTCATTCTTAAAATATCCGGAAGTTTCAAACATTACTTCAGATTTAATCGTTTTACCACTAGATACTTTAAATATAACCTTTGATAATGCTATTGAAGCAATTTCGTTTGTGCTATGAAGTCTAAAATAACTTATTAAATAAAACCATTTATTATCCCATGTAAATACTCTACTATGTATCGAGTATCTTGATAATATTGGAATTTCGCTGTTGAAATTGGTTATGACGGCTAAAAGGTAAAATAAAATTATTGATTTGATAAATAAAATGATCGTACTGTATAAAAAAAATCCTTACATTTTAAAATCATAGCTGGTTTAAACTTCCAAAATGCATTTGCAAATAATTTGATCATTAGGTCCGTTCGTGAAAAATCTAGCATTTTGTGATATGAGCTATTTCAAATAAAAGTTACAATTTTAATCTTTTCATTCAAGGATTATGAGAAAACGATTATTTTTTCTTATTACCTATTACTCAGATGTTTATTAGAATCCATCTATTTTATTTTTTATAAGAGAATTATTTTTAAAATAAATAAAAAAAAATAAAATAAACAAGCATAGAATAACTTACGTCATCGAACAAGACGGCATGTTTAAATTCAAGTGCTCGAAATATATCTTTTTTCCCTCCTTCCTTATCATCATTTCTATATTTTGAAGATTTCATAATTATGAAAAATTGTCTAAAGTGATATACAAATGGAAATGATTTTATGTTTAAAAATATTATTGTAAAAAAAATCGATTTTAATATCGTTTGCATATTTGGAGTCATTTTTGATGATTTTTTCTCAATGTTGGTTTTTAGCATTATTTATATAGCTCTGATTTAAAATTATTAAATTTGTGCCACATTACATATACATTTTTAGAAATTTCGGAGCAATCATTTTTTTTGCCTCGTGAAATAAACTTATTTATATTGTATGTTGAAAAAGAAAAATTCTAATGAAAAAAAATACATAAATTTACGTATCGGATCAAAAATAATTAAATAAATAATCATTCTTCGCTATTTTTAATTTCCTCACTTTTTTTTAAAACTCCATTACTCCAGGTTCTTTTGTTTGAGTTTTTATTCCCCCATCTCCATCTAATATATCTCTTATTATGAGCATCTAAAACATCATCATCACAATTACCAAATAATGGTAAACCTTTTCTTAATCTTCCATAAATTTCTACAATAACCAACAGTAATGAAAGCATTGACGTTATAATGATCAAATTTAATGAATTAATTTTACTTAATGGTAATAATAAGTAAATTGTTCCAATTATGAACCTTAATAAAATTCGATAAGACTAAAAAATAAAAAAATTATTTAATAGATCAAATAATGTTACATTTAAATTTGTAAACATGTTTACCTTTCGAATTCTTAGATAATCAGCATTATCTAATCCTTTGTGTAACATTCCAATAAAAGCCATACAATATAATGAAATCGCTAAAGAAATGCAGTATAACCAAGATAATGATGAAGGAAATACTGCATCATCCGCATGTTCAGGAACTGCTCTTGATTCTAAATGAAGGTCATTGTCTTCTACCGGTATATGTTGAGAACCTGGAAAATCACGAAGTTGTACCATTCTACCTAATGAAGTTCTGTAAAAATTGCTCAATATTAATTATATTTTCGATCGGTACTATCAAAAAGGTTCAAATTAAATTTTATAAATGAATGTACCCAAATGCAATCAACGCCATATTCTAGAATAAAATGTTTAGTTAATAAAAAAAAAACTTTACGTGTTTAATTCATTTATTCTAGTAGTAAAAGTATCACCATCGGAAAATGTATCAATCCAAATAATATACCAGTAAAAGTATGTCTTCTTAAAGCATGCTGGAATTGTCTACTAGCATCCACATCGAAATATATCCAATGCAAGTTATACGCAGTTAATAATCCTAATATTGCCTAATAAAATATTTATTTTGACAGTATATCAATGATAATAAATCCAAAATTAAGATTAATTTAATAACTGACCTTGGCGAGTTGGCCATCAGGCGACGGATTGAAACTAGTATACAATATTCCTAAAATCTAAAAATAATATATATCCATTAAATCAGCATATAACAAAATTCGCTTCACCTTAAGAAGATGCTTCCTTGCTACGTATACTTTACCCCTTCACCTAAAGCTATAATAGTAAATAATCCTAATCTTTCACTATAATGTTCAATATTTAATGCAGGTCTGTATTCTGAAATTCTGAATAGTGAAAATAAATCCTTCCATTTCCATTGATATTCAGTACCACGAGTTTTCATTGCTTTATGTGGCGCATGCTTTTTTGGAGAAGTTGAAGTAGGTGAGGTAGAGGTAGGTGAGGTAAGGGTGGGTGAGGAATCATTAACCAAAGTATTCTCCAAAGTAAGTGTAGAATCATCAACTGTTTCAAATTCTTCTCGTGTAGTCTTATTTCGATTAAAAATCTCACTTCCATATCGATTAATCAATAGAATGCCACCAGTCCATAGATTCTCTATCCGTAATATAACAAAAAAAAAAAAAAAACTTTTAATTTTTAATCTTCCAAAACAAAAAGCGTTCTTTATATTACCAAATACGAGTGCAATCCACATTACTGCCATAACTCTATTTCTAGGAACGAATATGGCTACAATCCAAAGCATACATGGAATGAAGATTCCCCATGAAGTATTTATAAACGGTATACGAAATAACGGAATCCATGTCGCATGTAACAAATTCAATAACATGAATGTCATTCGTGCAATTACGAAAGAAACTACATAAATCATAACAAAATAAAAGTAAATATGTTGGCTTTAATTATTTAGGTAAGGCATTAAATGTCGGATGTTAATACTTACTGAGATAAATATATGCGGTTTCATCGAATATATCTGACGCGTGTGTTCCCATAGTAATTACAAGTACCATTTCCTAAATTGTGTTTAAATAAGCAAACTGTTTGCGAGACAATGACGATATAATTTTATACTTACAAAAAACACGATAAATTTCTCGAGTAAATCATCTGAACTATACATATTCAAATAATGAGTCATATCAATCCATACTCTCCAAATAGGATAACTAATTTTTTTTTTAAAAAAATAATAATAATAAATTCATTAATGGTTTGCTGCGACATACAATCTTTTAATTTTCTCTAAAAATGCTTACAATGTTAAAATAAATCTCTCAATATTAACGAGAGTAACATCTTCGACTAAAACGTGACCTAAATTTCCAATTACGGCTACGAAGATCAAATCCCAAAATAATTCTTTAAAATTCACTTTTCTTTCTTCAGCTTCTCTATGTAAAGTGCCAGCATGCCAATATTGTCTTACTCTTGGTTTTCTCATTAATCTATCATGTTTATGATATTCTTCAGCTGAATCTTCATCATCTGCTATTATTTCAAGCTTTTGTAATGAGCCAAATGTATGAACTGTAGCATGAATTGTTTGTTCATTATTTTTGTGATTATTGTCATGACCTAATTGTGATAATTCTTTTACAAGTCGATCAAGTTGTTTTGATACGGAATCGGAACGTGATAAAGCTTCTCTGCGTTCTCGCTCCAATTGTTCGGAATTTGATTTCAATTCTTCAATTTTTGCTTTCAATGCTGCTACCTATTAAAATTAATTACGTCATTATTGTTTAGAACTTTCAAAAAAAAAAAATTAATTACAATGTATCAATTAATTTAAATACAATTAATTAATATATTGTAGTAAATAAACACGTCTTTAAATATAATTACATGTTTAGGACTACCGAGCACACAACAACTAGGAGCTTCTCCGCTTATAATATCATCCTCTTTGTCAACAACTAACAATTTTGTATCACCAATTTGCAAATTCTTTGAATAGTTTAATGGAACAATTGGAGATATCGCTAATTCTATATCCTTATTTAATGAAACTTCTTGAAGTTGATCTTTTTGTCGGTCAGGTACATCATTATTTTCAGTCATCATTGAAAAGAAAAATTTAGGGAATCACATTTGAATTTACCATATATATATGCACATATTATTAATGATAAACAAGATTGATTTCTAGATTTATGCATGTGCATGCATCGGGGATGGGATGGGCGTTAATCGGTTAATTAACCAAATTTTAATTAACCGGGAATTTCCCATCCCTATCGGGGATGGAAAAATCGGTGTCGTGTAATGTACATACATAAAATCGAAATAGTCATTTTTATATATGAGGATACTATTGAAATTAAATTACGAATATAGTAAATACTATGGCCCGTACATGATTTAAAAGCAACACCACACGTTAAAAGTAGAAAGTAGAAAGTATACTTTTGATATTGGCAAAATAGTTTGGGTTGCATGTATGGTATTTATGATATCCACAAAGAAATTTATTGTGCACATTCCAAATACCTTGAATAATATTTTACCTAAATTATAATAAAAAATAAGCATTAAAGTTTTTATTAAAAACAGTATTTTTAAATGATCTGAAAAACAAAGATTACTCAAATTATTAAAATATTGATAGATAATAAAATGCCATTATATTTAAAATTTAATCTGCCAAATCTTATCAATGCAACTATAAATTATTAAAATATATATATTAAAACAAAAGTATTTAACATGATTGATCATCAATATTATCATTCTGATTTTTACAAATATAATTCAAGGATTGATCTAATTTATTATTATTTCTGTAAATTCTAAAATGTTATACAAATAGTTATGTAATTTCTAATGATAATATTGCTGATGATGATGTTAAAGCTGATTATGGCTCTGATGACTCTAATAGTGATAGCATTGCTGATAATAATATCACTATTGCTAATGGTACTGCTAATGATAATACTACTGCTAATAATACTACTCATAATAATAGTGTTGCTGATAATGATAGTGCTGCTGATAAAGGTATTACTGCTAATAATACTGCTAATGATGATAGTATTACTAATAATATTACTGAAGATGATGATACTACTACTGATAATTATAATAATATTTCTACTAATAATAGAGTTATTACTAATAATAAAGTAGTAAATTAATTAAATGTTTAAGTATATATCACAAAATTAATAATACTAATATTTTTTGTAATATACTTAAAGGTTTATAAATCAAACCCTTTAAATTTTAGAAGAATATGAATTTAATCATTATAGATATGAGTCTAATAAGATTAAATTATACTACTTACATTATTAACTATATTTATTTTTCCTTGAAACTTCAAATAACCTAAATAAAGTTTTATTATCATTATTGATGCAGTAATATTTTCTATATAAAATGAATTTAATATATTAAAATTAATTTTTATTAAATAAAGTTTAATATTGTATTAATATCTTTAATTATTTTAAAACTTGATACATCATAAATTAAAAAAAATAGAATCAATACTTTTCAAATTTTATTATATGATTCAATTTTTTTATTATTACTAAAGCATATTCTTAAATATCTAAATTATTATAAATTTTTTATATAGTTTATTATACATATGGGAGGCGGTCAGTAGAAAAGTGGAAATCCAAATTTTTATATTATTGGACCACTTGGTCATATGCACAAAATTAGCTTAATAATTAAAATTAACAAAAATTTTGGATTTCTCCTTTTCTACTGACCTCTTCCCATATATCTAATTTTATTCTGATTTGCTTACTTTTCATTTAACTTTTTTTCAAGTATCTAAATTTATCAATAATATTTAATAAAATTCCTTAAACTTTTTCTTAAAAAAACGAAAATAAATTTCTATATTTTCTTTTATTATTCTTTATAAAAAATAAATTTTATTACATATTAATAATTTCTTTATAATGCTTTTAATTATCTTTATATATTATTACATTTATTATATTATTATAAAATTAATTTATGTAGTGAATATAATTTTAATTGATTTTTTTAATATATTCAATATTTAAATTTTGTCATTGTTTCTTATTCTCTTCCTGAAATGATTGTAGTTTCATGAAGATTTAACCTCATCTAACTGCAATAACTGTTTTGCATAGAACATGTTTTATTGAAACTTTTGGTTCTAATTGGCTTAAACGAACCCACTTCTGCGCACAAGATCATAAATCTTTACAAACTTATAGAAAAACAACAAGGTTTCTAAATACCTAGAAGTAAACCATTTTATATGTCTTGTGGATTATTGCATAATTTAGTTATCATTCGTTATTAAAGAAAAAGCATATCGAATTTGCTTGCTTCAACGCGTCTGCTTAATAAATATTTCAGCAGTTTAAATTACAACTAGAGATGAAATTCAACGACAGTCATATATTTGGTTTTAATCGATCACCTCAGACGTAAAAAGAAAGTTGTAATAAAAATAAATAATAAAATCAAGTATAATATTATTTATTAAATTTCGAACCTGAAAAAAATAAATTTAAAAAAAATTGTAATCGACAATATAAAAAAATAATAATAAAAAAAAGTATCGTTGATTGGCTAAATATTTTTTTTAGAAAATTAACGATGATCTTAAATTTCTTATATTTATTCCGAGAACAAAGTAGCATAATGGACATTCGTTATATCACGAGGTGATAAAATCAAATGTCGATCTTTTTTATATTGTGTAACATTTAATGTCAATCAATTTAAAGTAATAAAAAAAAGATGCGATATTTTTCAAAAACTAATTTATCGTTAAGTAGTTTTTTTTTCATTAATATGTCATTCGTTTCTTTCTTTACATTTGGGTAAAAAAAGATCTAGGAGATCTCCGCAATAGCGAAACTTAGATGAGAGCCAAAGTTTTAAGGTTTTATTAATTAATATATATATAGTAAAATATATTTTACCAAGTTTTTATAAATTCTAA